GCGACCCCTAGATAGCTCAGGTGTGGAATAAGATCGCAGAGAGCGGAAAGCCCGGTCGCCCAGATCCCGCTACCCCACAAAGTGGATCCTAGCTTTTCACGGGACAAAGTGCCTGGATCCTTATCGAGAGTGGCAACACTAGTCAAACCAGAACCGTCGGGTTTAGACTCGCTAGAGGATCAACTCGATCCAGCTGGTGGCTTCCCCGATACCAGGGTACCGGATCCCACGAAGACAGGAGGACCGACATGTGAAAGAGGGTCGCGGTGCTTGGATCCGATGGTGGATCCGACGAAGACGGAAGATGAACAAGTCTGTTACATTGAAGGCGGGGATCTACACGCCGAGGATCTTGGAGAAGGCCTGGCGGTGATCCCGGAGGTACCACTGACCACAGAGGAGGTCACGATAGACGATATCCGAGTGGATCCAGGGGCGAACGAGCCCGCGGAAGTGGATCGGTTACGTCAGAAGATCTGGAAAAGCCGACTTCTGCTGATTGGTAAGGGTAATGCATTACCGCCCGCTGCCCGCGGAGTCAAATGTGACATCGATGTCGGCAACCCGAAACCGATCGCTCAAAGGGTGCGGAAGGTGGCACCTCAGTTCCGAAAAAAACTATCGATCTGATTAAGGGCCTGCTGCAAGCCAAGATCATCAGTTTCTCAACGTCCCCGTGGGCATCTCCGGTGGTAATCATCATCAAGAAGAACGGGGTGGATATACGTCTGTGCATTGATTAGCGGCTAGTTAACGGCCTGACTCGATTGATGGTGTATCCGATGCCTCTAATCAATGCGCTATTGGAAGATTTGGATAAATTACTCTGGTACTGTTCTCTTGACATGGCCAGTGGTTTCGGGGTGGTGACTATGACGGATCGAGCTCGCGCAATATCCGCATTCATCACACCGTTTGGACTGTTCGAGTGGAACCGGATGCCGTTTGGATTGAAGAACGCACCCCAGATCTACCAATGCCTGATCGATAACGCCCTCTATGGATTCACCCGAATACCGGAGCCCGAAAGGGGTGGATCCGGGGAAAATCATACGGAAGGGGATATATTCGAAGCAGGAGAGCCAGGGGATCTTGGGACCCCGTCTTGTTTGGACGCAGATCTTATATCGACGACATTCTAATCCCGGCGGTGGAATCAGTTGTGCGAGAGAGTGACATCCCTACTGGAGGCGTGCACTAAGTGGAATCTCTCTATCAGCGTGGTAAAGAGTTATTGGGGGATGCGCAAGGTTGATTACCTAGGTCATCGAGTCTCCAAGGAGGGGTTGGAGGCGAATCCTAAGGACCTGTCTTCGTTGGCAGACTTGTCCTTCCCACAGTCGTTACGGGCGATGCAATCCTTCTTGGGCAGTTCGAACTACTACAGTCAGTTCATCGAGGATTACGCACTGTTTGCTGCGGTACTATATGAATTGAGGGAGGTAGATTTTGCTGCGATGACCACTCCAGCTGTCTGGATCAAAATTTAACAAGCTCTGACCCTGGAGATGTCGGATCCACGAAGAGATCCAAGAAGTACGACGCCAGAAGAGGATCTAAAACAGGAGCTGGATCCACCCTGGGACCAAAGGAAAGAGGACCCAATCAGGATAGAGACGACAGATCAGAACTCGGAAAAGGTGGAACCTCGGTGGATCCGAGCTCAACACGCATTCGTGGAGCTGAGGAACAGGATCGA